ACACTGAACAAACAGGTGTAGCAAGGATTCATCGCCACTACCACATACTCCACACTTCACCGGGCAGTCCACCTTCCGCCTTCTTAAATTGAATGTTGTTGGAAGAATATTGTTACAAGCTTGACAGAAGAAAGATTTAATTTTGGGGGTAGAAGCCAATTCCACATCACCGTCCATCCCTTCCAGTCCGGTGCCTGAAATTCGACTATGATTTTTCGGTAGCAACTCCGAATCGTAAATCTGCCTCCCAATTCCCACCTCCAAATCAGACTGTCCGGTACCACTCTTCTGCTCACTGGGATACTTTGAATCAGCTTAGAATCTCTACTATTGAATAGATTGTGTAAAATATAAGTATCCCAGTAAGATGATAGGGGATAACCTTGCCTTAATCCTCTAGTAAGCATAATCGGACCAACATCAACATCGTCAATAGGAATCGTACTAACACATTCCATCACTATCCAAACCCACCTACAAGAGAACCCAATTTGTGCATCATCCCTTCCAAAGACCATTCTATCTGATCGTACACCTTGCTCATATCGAGTAGCAAAGCCATATATCCCAACTTCCCCCGCCGCTTCCTCTTTAAATAGTGATGAGACTCGAACGCCAACATGATGTTATTAACTATCGACCTTCCCGAGATGAAGCCACTTTGTTGCTCCGAGACACAGAAATGCATAAGACTCTTCATTCGATTGGCCAGCACTTTGGGAAAAAATTTATACACCACATTACATAAGGATATGGGCCTCCAGTCATCAAAAACTTCCGGTTGATCCTTCTTGGGAATAGGAACAATATGAGTATGTGTTAGAATATTATTTTATTGTGTTCAAATTTATCTGTAATTTATTTAATGAGTCTTTGTATTTAATTACTTTAGTTGAGAGAGAATTAGGCTCATTTAAACTAACTCTAATAATCCCACACACACGCCTAAGCTGCTTCCTAATTGTATTAGGCATTTCAAACATCTCTCCTATAAATATAGGTTGAGATAAAACCCCGATGGCCAACCGTAACGAGGAGGTAACCGAGGAAACTCATCAAATGGTTACCGTTGTTGATGGCAATGACATGACTTTGGCTGCTTCGGAACAACCCGGAATGCAACTCCGGAACCCAAACAACTATTCTACGAGGTGGGATACACATCACACCCGATGATCACAAGAAGTCAATCCAGACGCCCGCAAAATGAAGACGACTATTACATTTACCCTGTTGATGCGAGACTGGACTCTCCACATAAACTTGCTACAGCACTGGCACGATATAGGTCCTCTAAACCGGAAGCAAAGACCTATCAACAATATCTCCGAAAGGCTATTCAGTTCCATAACAGATATAACAGATCCATTTCGTCTACGGTCAGGATACCTTCAAAAAACTTCAACTGTTAAACCCTTGTTTCTTATCAGCTTTTGACTTTATGCTTGTTATTATCTGTACCGCTCCTTAAACTTTCTTGTAATCTACTTAATTTTAATAAATTTGGGTAGTGTTCCCCGGCGCTCCCGCCACCATGTGTGGTTATTTCCGGGAAAAAAAAAGGTTGAGATGGCTGAAAACTGCTAAGTTTCTACACATTCTGTTTCCGCATATTATTCTCTGTAGAGTCAGTAGAATAGAAATTCTCTCTCAAGCTTATTCGTTCGAGCACTGTGTAATTGTTCTTCATGGATTCATCATTATATATACACGGTATACGTTATTGGTGAGATTTCTCTTTTACTGTTTAAATTCTTCCTATTAATCTTAGACTATCCGGCTGTTGAAATCTGAGCATATCTCACACAATTGGTATCAGAGCCTCGGTGCAATTCTCTTCGTGTGATTCCTTGAATTTTTCTGGAATTAATTTGATCAAAAACACAATTATTGGTTGAATTAATCTCTAGTTCTGTTCTTGGAAACATACTGTTTTGGAAGGTTTCTACAATCAGGAAGGAGTATCCAGGTAAGATTTGGTCAATTAATTATTCGCACGTCCGAAATCTATTTTTAGCAGGTGAAGATCTCGGATCATCTTAAGTTTTCGTTCATCCAAAATCTTAATTCGAAGACCATCCGAGTTTTAATCCCGAAATCTTAAATTCGACCCTCATCCGAAATTGTCAGCTGACCCGAGATCATCTTCCGAATTTCTAATTTCGGACATCCAATATCTGATCATCCGAGTTCCTAATTTCGGACACCCGAAAACCTTTCTTTCCGAAATAAGGATCCAATTTTTTTTTAAGCAGTACCGAAATCTTACTTCAACTGAACAGTTCTCGCCTTAAGATCAACAACAATCATGGAAGCCTATACTCTTGGAAGTGACTCCAGACCTCCTCTGCTCAGAAGAGAAGAATTCGCAGTATGGAAAGTCAGATTCTTGAACTTCATCAGAAGCAGGGAAAACGGGAAGAATATTCTCAAATCTCTGGAAGAAGGACCCATCGAGGTCTGGGTTTTAGTTCCTGAAAACACTACACATAACCCTCCCACACCTGCTCAAAGAAATCTAAAAAAGGAAGAAGATTACACTGAAGCCGAAAAACTCAGAGCCAAAGCTGACCTTTTAGTTGCCGCTTATCTGCTCCAAGCCATCGCCAATGATCTGTTTATGCAAATTGATAGTCTTACCACTGCTAAAGACTTATGGGATGAAATCCATCAGATCATGCAAGGCACCGATATTGGAATCAAATCCAAAAGAGCTCACACTTTGGCTGCATATGACTCCTTTGCCGCTAGATCTGATGAGGAGCTGGAAGATACATATCAACGTTTTCTGACGGTTCTGAACGAGATGAAGAAGATCAACATTCGAAAAACCAACATGGAAGTTAACCTTCGCTTCCTGAGATCTCTCAAACCCGAATGGAAGAAAACAGCCAAGCGAATCAAACAAAATAAAGATCTGGATGCGCTGACCATCTACAATCTCTACGACTGTCTAGGAGAATTCTCTGAGAATATACGCGAAAAAGTCAATTCTTCAAAAGGAAAGAACATTGTTGATACACTTTCCCTCCTATCAACTGAAAAGAAAAAGAAAGAAAAAATTCCCAAAATTTCCTTTGACGTTGATTCATCCGATGAAGAGAAGAACTTGTCTGATTCTGATCCTGAGATCAATGAGCTGAAGAAGGAGCTAGCTTTGTTAACAACCATGACAAGAAAGATAAACAAGAAGTTCACAAGATTCAGAAACCCCGGAACCAACAACAAACAAAGAACTTCTTCGTCAAACTATTCTGACAAAACTAACATGCCTTCAGATAAAGCTGTGAGTGGCGATTCAATGAAATGCTTCAAATGTGGGAAGCCTGGTCACTTTGCCAAGGAGTGTCGTTCTGCCAAGAAAAAGGACTTCAACTACTACATGCAAAAGGGTCAAATGGCCAAGCAGAGGGAGCATGAAGTGGTCCTAATGGCTGAACACGATAGCTGGTTAGAGGACACTAACGAAAGTGAGCCAGAGAACTTGGCACTGATGGAAAAAGTGATGGACTCTGAAAGTGATGACTCTGAAGAAGAAGAAGACGATGCTGCTACATCTACTGAAAATGATGGAAAGTTTTTTCTAAATCAGGTGCAGGAAGAATGACTCGGATCCCCAAGACAGCAGTGAAGAATGAAACAAGACATGATCATTCAAAGAAGATTTCCAAACTCTTTAATTTTGTTGAAAAGTCTTGTAATAAAGTTAGAAATTGTTTCCGTTCTAGTTCTTCTGATAGTTCCTCTAGTTATGTTTGAGACCAAATCTCATAAGTTTGCTTCTTCTTCTCATTCTAGTTGTGATTCTAATTCAAGTGATGTTTTTAAGCATGATTATTTAAAATCTCCTTTCTCCAAACGAGATGTGTGTGATATGAATGGTTCAAATGGGTGTGTTACTTTCTCTTCTTGTGGAGGTGATTATTTAAAGTATCCTTTAAAGGTTCATTCTGTTAAACACCTCAAAAGATTGACAAGAGAGAAAGTTTTCACAAGTCATAAACAATCTCAATCACAGTTCCAGAACTCAAGTGAAAAATTTCAAAAGATAAAACAAATCTGGGTTCCTAAACATAAACTGACCAAGTCTCATCATATTCTTTCCTCACATCAAAAGGATGGACCTGTCCTTAAATGGGTACCTAAGGCTGCTTAATTTTGCAGGCCAGTCATGTGTGGTACTTAGATTCAGGTTTCTCCACACACATGACTGGGAAGAAAGACCTGTTGAGCAACTACGTGGACAAGTTTGGTGGAAAAGTGAGATTTGGAAACACTGACTCTGCTCCTATCCTTGGATTTGGAGATATCTGTAATAGCAGGGTCACAATTAAAGATGTTTCTTATGTTGCTGGGTTAATGCACAACTTGTTTAGCATCGGACAATTCTGCGACAGGGGCATGCAAGTCATATTCCGAGCTAAGAAGTGTTGTGTGAAGGACGATCAAGGAAACACCATTCTGAGGTGTAGATGCAAATCCAGTCTTTACACCATTTTGTTGAAAACAGTGCTTCCCAATACCGATGTCTACTTGCTGTCAAGGGCGTCCTCTGAACTAAATCAACTGTGGCATAAGAGGATGTCTCATCTGAACTACCGTGATCTGCATACTTTATCATCAAAGAAGCTTGTTACTGGTCTGCCAGCGCTGCAAAGCAAATGTGATCATCTAAGCGATTCTTGCGCACTTGGAAAAATGAAAAGAGCTTCTCACAAGGTGAAAGTGACTGCATCTACTACACGTCCTCTTGAATTGCTTCACATGGATCTTTGTGGGCCCATGCGTACATAAAGTATCAATGGGAAGAAATATATCATGGTGATAGTAGATTACTACTCAAGATATACAGGGATCCGGTTCTTACGCTCCAAAGACGAGACAGCAGACATCATCATTACCTTCATCCGTACCACACAGAATCTACTCCGGGCAATCATACTCTTCATACGATCTGACAACGGCACCGAGTTCAAGAACCAGAAACTCAGTGAATTCTACGAGACTTAAGGCATCATTTAGCAATTCTCTACAGCAAAGACCCCAACGGCAGTAAGTTTTTGACTGGTTACTGTTTTTCTTTGTGCTAGGAAATAATGTACAGGCCCAGAGGCTGGAGGAGGGGCGTCTGCGCAAGGCTGAGCAGGATGCAAAGATGCGGGAGCTCATCTGCCAGAACTCTGATGTCGTCCGGCAGATGGCTATGCTGGAGGAGAGCCTTCGGCAGATGACGATGCGGGCGGAGGCCGCAGACAGGGGCAAGGCCGAGGCTGAGAGGTTCGCAGCTGAAGCCCTTGAGAGAGCCTCTAAGGAGGCCGAGGCCGCCAAGGCGGATGCCGTCGAGAAAGCCCGAGAGGACGCCGTCTCCGGATTTTTGGCAGGGGGTGGCGAGCAGAGGAGCACAAACAGTGGCTGTCCTCGGTCGTGGAGTCCTCGGTCGACGAGTGGTGTGACGGGCCCGGCGTGGAATGGGTTTCCCAGAAGGGCAAACAATACTATGATGGGGGTGAGTTTTTTACTCAAGCCCTCATCTACCGGAGGATGGCCCGCCACTTGAAGATCGAGCAAAAGGACTTTGACCCGGCGGCATACGGACTTCCCCCCTGCAGCCAGATGTCCGTGTTCCTCTCCCCACGGATGTCGAGAGGCCCGACCTGGAAGATACGGAGCTGATGAAGGAGGCTGAGGGAGACGAAACTGAGGTCGGCACAGAGGTCACTTCAAAGCCTTTGGAAGAGGCTGCCCTCGAGGATGTTAATATCTGATTTGTATTTAACAAATTCTGAACAATTCTGTTGTAGTGAATGCTTGTATGCCCTTGGCCTTCGGCCCCTTTGTAATGCACACTTTGAATTTTCCTTTCCTCGATGAATGAATGCTTGCCTTCGGGATTTTTGTATACAATTCGTTTCCTTTGACTGTTGTTCTTTGAATGTATGCCCTCGCCCTTTCTGAATGTATGCCTTCGTTTTTCTGAATGTATGTTTAGGACTTAGAATATATTCTTCCAAGTATAGTACCTCTCGTAGCCCTCGGCTACTAGGCCTATCTAGTCAATGGAACCTTTGTTCGAGGGCCCAACGTTCAGGACTTAGAAATATTTCCAAGTGTTTGTTCATCTGTTGGCCCCCGGCTAACTCTTTCCCTCTGGTTCTGTGCAGCCTTCATGAGATAACCGGAGGCGAGATGTTTAGGACTTAGAAGAATTTTTCTAAGTGTTTGAATACAGTCTAGCCTTCGGTGATTGGGTACCCTTCGCTGACTGGATGTATGACCGAGGGCCCAGAAATAGTTAGGACTTAGAAAATATTTCTAAGTGTAGTTTTACCAAGTCTTCAACCGTGTGACCCCTCGGGCTGCATAGAGATTTGACTGAGGTCAAAATATGTAGGACTTAGAAAATATTTCTAAGTGTGGTTTGCATGAAGGCGGAGCCTTCGGGTGAATGTGGTGAATGTGAGGACCTTGTCTCAGATGCGCCCTCGGCTGGCTGGTGGCCCCCACAGGGGGCAAAGTATTTAGGACTTAGATTATTTTCTCTAAGTATTTCCTGCTGCTGGCCTTCGGGCGGGGACCCTTCGGCTGTATACGTTGTAGGTTTAGGATAGTTTCCTTTGCCTTGTAATGTTGGCTCGTGGCAACAAAAAGCCTTCGGTTGTTAGTTATGTCCCCACAATGTCGATATAGGAGAGTTTGTAATCCAAATCTAGCATAAAAAGGCAGACTCCCTCGGGAACTGTCTGGATGTATCTCCTCGGCATGTAGTGAGGTGCCGGAGGTGATTCTTGATTTGGTTTGGCCACCATCTGATAGCTTTGTTATATAGTAGCCTTTGGGGACGTTTTGAGCTGTCGTTGGCTGAGCTTGTCGTGTTTTGTAGTATTTGAGCCTTCGGTTTTAGGTATAGCCGGAGGCAATCCTTGAGTGGACTTAGCCATTTTTTGATGATGTCTGTGTTGAATGGTATCCTTAGTACTCATGAGCGTCCAGGTACCGAAGGCGTTCCTTTGGGGAGCCCTCGGTATGTTTCCGTGAATTGTAGGAGTGATGTACTCATTGAATTCTCGCCGAGTCTACTCCCCTTCACCACCCCATTTTTTTTTTGTTGTAAGGCTTGGCCTATCGGGAGGTTACAGAATACACCATTAGCTCCCCCCTCGGGTTAACCTTACGAGTTCCGAGGGGATCGAGGGTCGTTTCCTGGGTACAAGATATGGTGGTCTGTAGCCTGCCTCCCCTTGGGGGATGGCGCGGAAAGCGCCTCAGTTTTGAAAGTCGTCCCTTCGGCGCTAGACACAGTCCGTGGCCAGCCACACCCTTGGGGTGGTGGCGCGGGGAGCGTTTCGGTTTGGAAGTCGAATCCTGGGCATTTCTCGTGTCTGTCATACCCTTGGGATGATGACGCGGAAAGCGTTCCGTTTTTGAAAGTTGAATCATGGGCATTTCTCGTGCCTGTCATACCCTTGGGGTGATGACGCGGAAAGCGTTTCAGGGAAGGGTTTTCATTTGCACACTGGTTGCAAATGGCCGAGGGCACTACGTGCTACCGGCACCAAGAGGTGGCGCCTTCGGTATAGGCGTCCTCGAGGGGTACGGCTTTAGAAACAACACTTGGTGTTTGTTCCGATTTACGGCCCCCGGTACTTGGTACCGAGGGGTCCTCTGTGAAAACACTTGGTGTTTTTTCTTCATTTGTCGCAAGTGATTGTGTTGTCTACCCTCGGTACTTGGTACCGAGGGGTCTTCTGTGGGAACACTTGGTGTTTCTCCTTTACTTATCGCAGTTGATTGTGTGGTCCACCCTCGGTACTTGGTACCGAGGGGTCTTCTGCGAAAACACTTGGTGTTTTTTTCCATCTGTTGAAAGTTGTCAGTGGTGTGTCCCCCCAGCACCGGGTGCCGAGGGGTCTCCATTTGAGGACAGTTGGTACCTTTTTTTGCTGTTGTAGGTGATAGTATTGTCTACCTTCGGCACTTGGTCTCGAGGGTTTTTCCTTGTGGTAAGGCCTTGGGCCCGGGGGTGATATGAGGGCTTGGCCCTTCGTAAGGACTCTATTCCATGTTTTTGGTGTCTTCAAAATGCCTTCGTTCTTCAGAATTTTTAGGCATTGGGCCATAAAATAATACATTCATTAGTTATGAGGGCTTGGCCGCTCTGATGTTATTGATAAAATTTAACCAAGTGATGTACATTCCAGTGCCTAGGGACTTCAGTCCCATTAGGGCATTTTAGCTTGTAAGTTCCCGGTTTGATGATGGCTGCCACGATGTAGGGGCCTTCGAACTTTGGTGCCATCTTTCCGCCCTCGGTTGGTTGGCTAGCTTCCCTTCTTCGAAGGACATAGTCCCCCACTTGGAATTCCCGGGAGCGGACCTTGGCGTCAATGTAACTCTTCACTTGCCTTCGGTAGTTTTCTGCACGTATGAAGGCTTGCTCTCGGCGTTCCGAAATAAGGTGGAGGTCGAGGGCATTATTGGCGTCGTTGGCCTCTAGGTCATACTGTGTGACCCTTCGGGTTGGAAGAGTTACCTCAGTGGGGGCCTTGGCTTCAAATCCGTAGCAAAGGGAGAAGGGTGTCTTGCCAGTTGCCCGCCAAGGGGTGGTACGGTAGGCCCATAAGATGTTGTGGAGCTCTTCTACCCAACCACCCCCTTCGGCCTCCAGCTTCTTCTTTAGGCCCTCGAACAAGGTCCTGTTGGCGTTCTCCACTTGACCGTTGCCCTGAGGGTAGGCAACGGATGAGAAGGTGTGTTTGATGCCCCATGCCTCTAGGAGGGCACAGAAGGGGGCTGCCTCGAACTGAGTCCCGTTGTCGGAGATGATTTGCTGGGGACGCCAAATCTTGTGAGGATGTTTTTAAGAACAAATGACGGCACCTGGCCTCAGTAATGCTGGCGAGGGGCTCAGCTTCCACCCATTTGGTGAAGTAATTGATGGCGAAGATGATGTATCTGTTGTTGGAGGTACCCCTCGGAAGAGGGCCCACAAGGTCTATGCCCCATCGGGCGAAGGGTATGGATGTGCTGATGGGGGCATAGTTGACCGCTGGCCTGCCGGGGGCTTTCTGGAAGTGTTGGCATGCGGGACACCTCCGGGCAAGATCTGCACAATCCCGGGCCATCGTAGGCCAGAAGTAGCCCTGGATTATTAGCCTTCGGGACATGGAGAAGGGCCCCTGGTGAGCTGAGCAAGTGCCACTGTGCACCTCCTCCATCGCTACTTCGGCTTCATCTTGATGAAGGCAACGAAGTAATGTCCCGTTGTAGGACCTTTTGTAGAGCCTTTCGTCCTCGATAGCGTAGCTGGGAGCCCTCAGCTTTGCGAGCTTGGTGCGGGCTTCATCCTCGGGCAGTTGCCCTGTGGTGATGAAGGTGACAATGTGTGAGATCCAATCACCTTTCCTTTGTTGTATGTGCATGATGGGGCTAGCGTGTATGCTAGACAGGCTTAGTTCTTCCACTTTGGCGATCTTTGAGATGTGCTCAGGGGATTCGGCCGAGAGCTTGGATAAAATGTCGGCCTCGGAGTTTTGAGCCCTCGGTATTTGAGTAAGAGAGTGTGCCTCAAATACCTTAAGCAACTCCTTGGCCGCCTCCTTGTATTGCTTCATTCTCCCTTCCTTAGCTTCGTATTCCCCGGATATTTGGCCCACGACTAACTTGGAGTCGCACTTGACGTGAATTTGTCGGGCCTTCATGTTAGCTGCCAGCCGAAGGCCACAGAGGAGGGCCTCGTATTCGGCTTCATTGTTAGAGACTTTGAAGGAGAAGCGGACTGCATAATAGGCCCGGAAGCCTTCGGGTGAGATGAGAACCACCCCTCCTCCACATGCCTTGACGGCGGAGGAGCCGTCGGTGTAGAGGGTCCACCAATCATCCGAAGGGGCCGAGGGCTCCTCGTTCGTGGCTGCTCTCGCCGTACACTCCGTCACGAAGTCCGCTAGGGCTTGGCCCTTGATGGCGGGCCTAGGACGGATGTCGATGTTGTATTGGCTTAAGAAGACAGCCCATTTTACCATTCGGGGGGAGCTAGTGGGGCTCCTCATCAAGGCGCCGAGGGGTTGGTGAGTGAGGGCCTGGACCGGGTGAGCTTGGAAGTAATGGCCTAACTTCTTGACTGTCCACACGATAGCCAATACCGTTTTTTCCACATGGGAGTACCAGAGTTCCGCCTCCCTAAGGGTCTTGCTAACATAGAAGATGGCATGTTGGATGCCATCCTCCTCCCGGAGAAGTTGAACATGAATGGAGAAGAAATAATGAAGGTGTATAGAATGAATGAATATTTGTTATGGTTTACAAGCCTCCTATAAGGAGTATATATAGGGAAAATCTGGGTCTGGGCCTGTAATATGGGCCTGACAGACCCGGTTACATAAATGGACTGATAGTATAAAAAGCTAATCTATAACATCTTAATAATAATAATGTACAATAATATGAATCCGCTAAACGTGTGTAGGCCGCTGTCCAAGCCCAGTAGTCGGCATACCGGGGAGTCGGAGTCCATAAACTCCATCAGGAGTCCCCCACTCCCTGAGTCGAGAGTACTCGAGGTGAAAGGGAGTAATCCAAACTGTATCTGCAACGTTCTTCTGTCTTTGGTTTCTTCTTTTTCGGTCGGGGGACTACCACCCTTGTCCATGATGGGAAGGTGCCTCGTTAAAAACCTTTACTAGGAAAAAACTCAGTGGGAAAAAATCCTAATAAAGGGAAAAAGAGTACACCTAGCGCCCCCAACATGAAATAAGGAAGGCAGGCCCCCTCTGGCATAATCACTTTTGTCTATCTCAACCCGTCTTCATCTGACTCATCTCTCGTTCCTGCTCATGCGTGATATTTTCTCCTCATCTAGAAACTCTGGCCCCTCAGTCCCCCAGTCCCCACTCTTTGAGGCGAGTGGAGATGAGGTGAAAATGAGTAAAGTCATCTTTGTACCTACACATTTAACATACATATAAATTTTTTCCTTGGGATTTATATTCCCGATCGGGAGTTCGTCACTTGAAACAAGTGGAGATGTGAATTGTTAATGTGATGATAAAATACTTAGTAGAATGGATGTGTGAGCCATTCGTAAGCAACGGTCGCCACTCGAGGAATGACTAAGACCGGTCTTCGTGCCCGACTTGGTCGGGGCTTTGTCTTCGTGCCCGACTTGGTCGGGGCTTTGTGCCTGATCGTGGTCAGGTCTTTAAATCCTAGTGATGGTTCTCAAGCCACACTCTACTAGGCATTTGATCATAAGTGTGTGATAGTGTGATATTTAACCGACAAAAAATATTGATTAAAATAAACATAAATAATATTAAAATTAAAGAAACTTATCTTTTAAAGCGTAGGCTCGGCTGAGAATTTGGTGCACTTTGATTTTATTCCTTCCTCAATTTTGACCTGGTCAAAGCTCTCAAAGCCTTGTCCGCCTCTCCACCTAATCTTCAAAAGGGATTGGCCTTCCCTTGGCCTAAAAAATGCGGACGTGGTCTGCTTTAGACCAAAGCATTTATGCGGAGTGCATTTTATAGAACAGGCAGGTGGAGCATCTTTCTACCAACCCAACGCAGTCCCTACATGCCGGCCACTTCCTGTTAGTGGAGATGGTGGTCGCAGCAGGGCAAGGACGGTCAGAACGGCTAGTCTCCGGCACAAGATCGGGTGAAACACGTCTTCCCTGACCTCCCAACCGCCATCAATGGCGAAATCAAGAAACCCCAGTCGGAAAATCCCTCAGGCTGCGTTGGCAGTGTGGCCGGTGAGGGCTCGAACAGAAACTGACCTCGTGGAGGAGCGTCCTACGGTGGACCGCTGACGACGAGTGGTGGGGTGGAGACTCGGCGGTAGAACCAGCTGCCAGCGACGAGCGACCGAGT